AAGAGGAGAGCAACAAAAACTAGACAGAAGGTGCCAATCACCACTAGCCCTCCAAGAGCCCAGTCACTTGTTACAATCAGTGTCTTTAGGTCTTCCAGAACTGAGGATGCCTCTTGTACTGATGACATGCTGGCTTCCACCCTGCTGGAGGTAGACAAGAACAGTATCAGATGTTGGTGTATCCTCTCGATGCTCTGAGCCACAGTCCCAAAACCAGCATAGGCATGCATGCTGTCTGTGCCTGCAGGCATCCCTCTTCCAAAAGGGAGAGTCACCCTTCACAGAAATGGGAGCATAAACCAGAAGAAAGATAGCTGAGGCCAGTTTCACAATCAGATCTACACAAATGTAAAGAGGAAAGCTTCTGACTTTACAAGACTTTGGCAGTTGAGATTTATTTTAATCTTAGTTTATCAATATTTTTAATAATAGAATATAGTGTCTCTCCCAGAATGTTCGGTATGAACCCTTCATCTCTGTCAACTGTACAGCCTATACATGAAAGACAAGTATTCAGTGGGAGAACTTGCTTGATACCATTGGAAAGATCTCTAAAAAGGAGTTGGGCACTTAAACTCTGAGAACACACTGGAGATTAAATGAACGCTTATTCAAAAACAAACAAAAAACCCCACCAACAATAAGCAAAGATCTTCATGTACAACTTGTTGTTCCCATAGGGCTTAGAATAGTCTAGTTACGTAAAAAAGGTCTCCTGTTAACAGAGTTTGCTTTAGTAATGCTTTCTGTTACTCTGCAATGGAAGCATAAGTTTTCCTCCTGTGAAGTACATAAGTCCAGCAATAACTTAAACTGGGATCTCAGTGGGTTCTACACACTTGGTCTTTCACTGATACTTTGCATAATGACTTGGCTATCAGTTTTCTAAAGAACATCCAGTATCTTTTTGCAAGCATCTTGTGGTTTTAGTAAAGCTTCCTTGCTTCTCAAGGGAAAGGATGGATTATATCTCACGCTTTCTCTCAAATATGACTGTGCAGACATAAAACAGGAAGAGATCTCCGTTATTTTTGAAAATTTGTTTGAATTGCTGCCCTTTATGTCTGTATCCTTAATATTGTAAGGAAGAGGATTAGCGATGTAAAGCCTGTTTCATCCCCAGCAAGTCACATTTGACTGGGAGCACAAGCTCACACTTCAGTTTGCTGAAGTTTTTGTTTCTTTCTCAGCAGCCAGATATATTCAGTTCATGCTTTGCTCTTTGGAATGATGGCAGATCACCATGCCCAGTCTCTAACCAACAGGCCTACACGACATGAAAGCCATTCTGGATAGCTTCCTTCACCTTTAAAAAAGGAGGCAGCCTAGATACTAGTTCTGTAGACCCAAAGGCAGAAACCCTGTGTGACCATACACCCTAGAAAGTTCCTGTCTCTTTTGCTAACCGCAGTTAGTCTCCTGAAACATATTGGAAATATGGAATATTGGAGAGCGGTATGCGATTTTATAAATACCTGAAGCCGTTGTGTTTGTAGTAGGCGTTTCTTCCGGTGCCTCCTCTGCACCCCCTCCAAGAGATCTTGGCCTGTGGTGAGGGACCCCCTTACTGTACCTGAAGACTTGTAGAGCTAGCATGGAAGTTGCCTGTTTGTACTGCAGTAAATGATTAACGGCTGACTTTCCTGCAAAGGTGTGGCTAATCTAATCAAAGGCCTTGAACCTAGTTAAAAAGACCTAGTTCAGCTGTTGCTCAGGCACTTCTTCCCCTCCATGGCTTTATCCACTCATGCACCTGTTCCAGTGCTTGTAAAGGCCCACTGTGTCCTCTGACTGGGGAAGGCTGCAGGTTGTGGCAGAGAGAAGAGGGCTTTGTTTCCTGGATCTGTATTGTAAGCTCCGTTAGGAGACTGCCATATCTAAAATGAGACTGTGAACAAGACTGCCCTCCGGTCCAAACTTCATTGTGACAGTTTAGGTGGATAAACTCATTAAAGAGCCTTGTACTGCTCTTAGCTGCAATAAAACTGTCTCCCTGTTGCTTTCCTAACTGAAGAAGACCAGAGGGATGGTGCTGGAGAGAGGTGGGAGGGGAGAAGGAGGAGAGTTGTGGTGTGTGAGACTCTGTGTGTGTAAAAGGAAACTTGTTTTTCACAAGCCAAGCAAATCACTTTGAAACCAGAGGGATGATGTTACAGAATAGAAGCTATTCCATTAAGTCATCAGTAGAACTTCAGCCACTTCTGCTGGAGAGGCTGGCCTCACAGTCTCTTTTAGGTTCCTCAGGGAAAGAAACTATTTCAACACTTGTATCATCAGGACTGAAGTAACTGTATTCCCTTGCAGTTCCTTCTAGGCTCGCTCAGGCTTTCACAACGTACAGAAGTTGCTGTGTTTGAAGCAGTCTCGCCTTAGTCTGTGCTCTTCTGAATCTCCCTCTGCTTTTTGAAACAGAGAGGATCCATCCTCACTAGTGCTTAGGGCGTTCCAGGTCCCTTTATGTGGGTAATGATTGAAGCCAAAACCACAAAAGCTTGTGTGAGTGGTGAGCAGGGACCCAGAGACCGGCATGTTTCTAGTCAACAGAAACTGAAGAGCTGCAGTAAGCTGGGATTTGGTGGGCATCTTTCAGGCCAACCTGATCTGTTGCATGCAAGAAGGCAGCAGACCCCACCCAGCCCAGGCAAGCAATTGGCATATCTAAATACCAAGTATAGGAGTAGTCCAGCTGAGTCAAATGGTACAAAATGGTACAAAGCGGTACAAAGCAGAACATTAGGCCTGTGATGTCCAGGCAAGCATATAGAAATCAGTCCAGGGACCCCTCCTCTACATGGTGGCTGCTCCTCTGCTCCAGAAAGCCACCTGAATTCTTTAGAGAATTGCTTAATTTTCTCTCCTTCTCTTTTTTTAAACAGTACCGTGTTTATTCTTTGTTTCTAATTCAGGAACTTACAGTGGCAGAGATAAGACAGGAGCCATTTCTCTTGTCCCTCTGGCTGGTATCTGTCAGTGGTTTAACTTATAACACCACTGGGAAACATGCATTTGTAGCTTTTCCTGTTAAGATAAGGCCTGGCAGCTTGTTCCTGGTGACAGCAGCCTGTCAGTCGTTGGTATGTTTCCAGCCTGCTGGGCTTCCTCCTGACTGTTAGCACAGGCTGGTTCCATGCTGCTGAAACATTTCTCAATGGGATTCTGTTAATTCCTGTAGCTGGCACTGTCTAGCACAGGCTAGGAAAGAAAGTAAGCTCTGTTCTTTCACAGGTCTCGTGACCTAACTTAGATACAGAAACGTCTGTTGAGTCTGTCCCCTGCAAAAGAGGTTCTGAGACTTCCAATGTCACCTTGATTGTCACTTGTTTGTAAGTGAAATGAGCAAAGACATATCTGACAGAGAGGTTAGTGTGATGCATCTCTGAATGCTGATTAGATTAAATTGATGCCACACTTGAGCTTATCCTACCCTAACATACTGGTTGGGAGTGAAAGCTTTGGGACAGCATAATAAAGGCCAGCACTTTGTTAGTCTTAGTGTAACTGGGCAGGCAGTAGCTGATACTAGTGCAGTCTTCTGTTGGCAGTTGTCAAGCTGGGGCTCAAATATTTACTTTCTAAGGAACATCCTCATCATCTTCTGCAAAGTTTTTCTTTTTATTAATTTAAAAGTAACATTGGTAGTTTGAGGATTTTTTTTTCTTAATTTTTAGACTGTTCTCTGTGTCACTGGCTGCAGATATATTCTGATGTGCAGCAGTGCAAAAATGCAAAATACCTAAATCTAGTTTCTTTGCAAAAATTGAAGTGCATTAAACACATGAGAAGCTACTGATGTAATGTGTTTTTTACTAGTTTGGGTGCAGGCATCAGAGAAAAGAAGTTGCTTTACAAAGTTTTCTTTTTTTTGGCCTTTCTGAAGAATATTTAAAAGCCCGCTGTTATAAACTTGACAATTCTTTTCTCTCTAGCTAGATGTTGGCTCTGGTATATACATGTGTAATCCCTTTGACTCCTCTACACTTAGCAGTCGGAATACCAGGGTAGAAGATGACTTACCTATACGCATGTAACTTTTTCTACCTTCTCATAAAGGTGGTTGGTTTCACATTTGGGGCTGAAAGACAGACCAGTGGCTTACAGTGTTAGGTGCAGTATGATGGTCTTCCGTTTGGCTGTCCCAGTTATGAAAGTCGTGGCCTGCGCCATAGCCTTGTACTTACATAAATCCCTTTCTGAAGTTCACCAAAGTGTAAACCAAACATACATAGTGGCTGCAGCATGGAAAAGGGATTTATTTGTGCTTGTTAACTTCAGCCGTACAGCCCATTCTTGGCTCTGCTTTGTCACAATGCCTGCTGTCAGCTGCTGCATGTATACCCTGAAGTGATGGTTACCATACTGTGTCAGTCCTCTGAAATGCCTTTGTGTATGCTAATAATCGTACCTTAGGCATAATGTTTATGTCCACTAAACTGCACACAGTGCAGGGAGTCAGGCACACAGGTCCCTCAAGTAAGGATAGGGATTTGTTCATCTCCTGTAACTCCCACGCTCTGTAAGGACCATTCACCTGCGATAAGCAGAAGAGCCGAACCACACAGGGGGTGGGGAGGGAGCATGTTTACCAGCAGAATGATCAAATTAAGCCGTAGCATTGGTGAGTTTTTCCCTTTTGCCTTCATCTTTCTGTTTACAAAGGGTATTGCACATGATCTGATTTTTCTCTTTGGCAATTTCACATCATTCTAACACCGATGAAATAAAGCAGGGATCATTTGTCACCAGCTGTACTCAGAGCCTCAGCTGGCATGTCTGGATCAGAAGATCCACGATTTGTTTTCAGGAGACATCTCAGCTAAACGTGCCTGTCGCAGGTGGCTTTTAAGAGCGCAGGTTTGGGCTTGATCCAAGATGTACTGGGCATGTGGACCTCCCAGTGATGTCAGTGGATTTTGCTAGCGCCCAGCATCATCCTTCTGGATTAACCACTTGTGAAGAGAGTGGGTGCTGCCTAGCATGTGGCAGTGTACGTGTTCTCTGCTTTGGTCTGTGGCTCCATGCTCACAAAGGGAATCCTTGGCTGGCCCAGCTGCAGGGCTGTCATTGGGAAAGCGTGTCTGTTTTCTCAGCAGCATGTGTCTGTGTACCCCCACCCCAGAAGAGAGAGACAGTGATGGTAAAGTAGCATTACCTTTCTGGTCACGCCACGGAGCCCAGCCGTGGCTGTCACAGAATGAAGGAATTCCATGCCGTGATTTCTCCTCCTCTGAGTCATATTAATTAATATTGTTATTGCCATTTTCAGTGAGCTAGCGTAGAAAGTCATTCCCATAGAACTGAATCATGATGTCCATGCATGTCCTTGGTAGTAGGTTGTGTCACCTCTTGTTGCACTTCATGAATGGGTGATGGGGCGGACTTGGATCTTCCTACGTCTGTGGTCAGGACGTCCGTCGCAGCTACAGCAGCTATAGCAGCAGCAACTGCAGGCAATGATCATGAGCAGAAGAACAGTAGCTGGAAAGAGAAGCAAAGGATATTGCTTCATGATGTAGGAGCAATCACTGGAGAGTAACCCTATGTCTCCTCCAAGTTGTTTGGTGAGCAGCAGAATGAACAAAGCCTGGTTTGTTGTCAATTGTTGGGTTTTTTCCCCCCCTATGTCCCCACCTCCCTCCTCCTAAGTTCCTGCTCCCTCGTATTAGTTATCTATGTTAATCTGGACAATCATTACCGGATATTTCATGATCTTAAGAGATCCAACTCTCCCTGTAGTTGTGTCAGAAGCAACTCGAGAGAACTTGGTTAGTCAAACTGGCAATTGCATGTCTGAAGAGTGCATGCAGTGTACCCTTTAATGAGGATAGATATTCGTGACTGGGTTGGCTTTATTCTTTCTTCTGTATTTAGCTTGAGAAAATAGATACTTCAAACACAGGATTTTGTTTCGCAAAGCAATAGGGTAACTTATTGCTATTCTACACTGGACGTAATGGTTGGTATTGGGAGGGATATGTTAGTTTATCTGGAATAGAAAAGGATGACATGCTTAATCCTGCAAAACACATAAGAGTGCGTGAACGTGCACGTGTGTGTGCATGTGTTCCTTAAAAATCTGGAGCTGGGCTGCCAGGTTACTGGACCTGTGGGGAACCAGCTGTAGGTATGAAAAAAATAAAGCAGCAGGTGTGTTTTTCTGAATTCCAGCCCAGGGAGGAGTGTCCAGGCTGGATACACACCCTTCCTTTTGGCTGGGAGCAAAGTGTACCTCTCTGAGGGGGAGGGCCTGCCTTCCTTCCTGCTTGTTTTCCTATTGTCTAAACAAACTTCATCCCCCTTGATCAAGCAGCTTTTTGTTATTCCTTCCATGCCATCCCCACACAGAGCAGCAGGAGGGATTTTGCCATTACCAGAGGAGAATAAATAGGCTCATCTGAAGCATCCTGGCTTCCGCTGAACTAAGCACAGGAATGACACTCAGAGTCTCAGACTTGAAGTGTCTTCCGCGGCAGTGAGATGCCCTAATACCATTTGTCGTAAACTATCTCCTATGCATCAAAACATTGCAGCAGCTCTGGATTAGTTATAATATTGCTGTTTAAACTAATGCTTAAATGTGAGAGCTTTGGGGAAAGCTATACTGTTGCCTATTGTGCTCTGCATGCGTGTAGAGATACACATTGAGTATTAAAAAAATTACCTAGAAATTAAACTGGGCCTCAGAGTACAGCCTGGAAAACAACTGCCAACAGCACTAACCCACCAACAAAGACTGTGGAGCAAGCTGCCCCCATAGAAGAGAAGAGACATTCTGATACCCCTTTGCCTCCACCGATAAACTCACCAATAAACAGAAGAACCACACAGAAGGACACAATCTCCACTGGGTCAGCCTTGGGCAGTTTCTGGAGCTTAAGGAGAAACTTCTCACCAATGGTTTGCATTTCCTTCAGAAAGCCTTCAGAAGACATTCTGGCTCAACCTCTCCAGGCTTTATGCTGTAGAAGAACCAAATAGAGAATAAACCTTTTCACTGACTAATGCTAGGAAGCTGCCAGCCTTCTTATAGAGCTGGTGATCACAAGGAAAACAAGTTTATCTGGTCTCAGTCCTCGTTCCCAGTAGCTAAGGTGGAGGACTATTAATTGTCTACGTGTTCTGGCACTGTTTTAATTTCAAAATCTGGCTTTGAGGGTGCTTTTGTCAGCTGCACTGTTAAAGAGAGGTGAAACGGTGTTTCTTCTGAAAGGACACTTATTTCAGCAGGCGTAGAGTTAGAACTGGACAGTGTCTGCCCTTGGCTTTCACCCAGTGAAAGCAATTATTTTTTTTCCAGTTGTGCTAACTTGTCCTTCCAGAAAGAAATGCAGTTCTAACTCGACTTGAATTCCAAATGCTGAACTCCAGTGGAACATAGTTTTCAGGGTTTTTTTACTGAGTAAGACAAAGTAGACCCCTTTGAAGACTTCCTGCACTAAAAGACGTGTATGAGGCACTTAGGGACATGGTTTAGTGGGCATGGTGGTGTTGGGTCGATGGTTGGACTCGATGATCTTAGAGGTCTTTTCCAACCTCAATGATTCTATGATTCTATGATTCAGCTACAGAAAGCCCCTTCAAAAACTAAGGCGCTTACTTCAACACCTCACTACAATACCATTAATAATGTTTTATCAACCAGTTTTACTGAATGGTGATATTAAGAGCTAAAGTCTGTGTTCACTGGGGACAGCTGGATGCTTTTCGAGTTCTTACAGATGACTGCAAGTTTTATATGGTAAGCTAAATGTAGCTTTTTTTTTTCTTTTAAGCCACAGTCTATTCTAATGGAGCAATATATGAATCAAACAGTGGATGTCCACCCATCACTGCTGGTGATAAGCAAAGCAAAAGCCTCTGGATCTCTCGGGGAGATACCTCCCTTGTGGAGCTAATCCCTCCTGCCCTGCTCAGTAATCTTACACCTTCTTTATTCTCAGAAAGAACAATCACCAGGAACTATTGTTACTGAAAATATTATTAGTTTAGTCAAAGTTAGGTGCCTCAGTTTTGCCACCAGTATTTGCTGTTCTTTTTCCCCATGAGCAAAATTTTGGAAGGCATTGCAACAAACAAGCTTGCATGAGAGCTATGGAAGTTCAAATTTTGCTTCAGTCAGTAACTGGAAGAGGATATTGTTGAGAAATATCCATAGTTTTGCCTAAAACAAGTGTTTGGACAGGTCAACACTTGGATGGATTGTAACTCCTACGTCATTGTTATATCAGAATATACTAGCTTGTGTGTATTGTAATAGTCAACACTGGTTTATGGGACTTGAATGTTGCAATTTAATATCCGAGTCTTGGTGATAACACCACGCCAAGTGACCAAGACAGTACTTCCAGAATAAGCCAGCTAGTTCATTACTGCACATCTGGTTTGGTTACTCAAAACAAATGGATGCTTGGAGTTCAGTTTTTCTAAACACACTGAGGACAGAGAGACCTTGCTGTTTCTTTGCATGCTGGGCTTAAATACTACAGTGCCAAGTTAAATTACATTTTGTATGTTTATGCAATTCAAAAAGGGTTTTCTTTGTTCTTTTAAATCCAAGCTAAGGAATAAAAATCGGAACCAGCTGGTTTCCTAGGGATGGGTGTGGATGGAAAATCTACATCTACAGAAAGATCTCTGTGCAACTTAGCAGGGAGGCATAGCTGTGGCCTTTTGACCTGAAAAGGTCACTTTTGAGACTAGGGTTAAATAGTTCTTTCCAGATGATTGCTGTACCCCAAGTGAGCTGCTCCAGAAATGGCTGCTTTATCCTTTGCACACTGCTGTGGGATTCTGTGTCAGCAGGTTTCCAGTTTTGTTTCCATTCCAAGAGATGGCGGTGCAGGCAGAGGTGAAGTGATTTGTGTTTTCTGCTCTTGGCTCTAGAAGAAAAACTTTTTGAAAAAAAGTAAGTATTTCTGGCTCTAACATTCTGAAAATGTTTGTTCCCTTTGGGGGTGTTTCTGCCTGCCCAGAAGCTCTCCTAGTAAGGAATCTGCTGTAACCTTTTGTCCCATGCTTTGGGCTGCACCAGAAGCAGCAAGTATAAGAGCTAGGCTTCTGAAGTTTGGGTATACAGTGTAAAAATTACCGATTAGGATTGTAGAACTCCACGTGGATTAGCAGAGTGCCTAGCCTAAAATGATAAGAGCTTGTCATCTCAGTAATGGACATTCCTCTGCCCCATGGTACCTGATCCGGAGCTAAGTGAAGGAGTCTTTATTCTAAAACTTGCAAGGAATGTTGCTTGTTTACCTTGGTTTGAACTTCTTCAGGGACAAAGTTTGATGTTGGTGGTGCGGTCGCCAGCCTACCTATGAGGAAGCAAATGTTTTTCTGCTTGACTGCACTTCTGACTGCACACTGGTTCTAAGGGCTCTTGCTGCTTTGGGATTTCTGCTTGTGGAGTGTAACAAAAGGGTGAAGAATAAATCACTTCTTTAAAGAAAAAAAAAAAAAAAAGAAAGTAAAACTCCCCAAGAAAGCTAGTTGTATTCATGGACTTTTGTATCTTCCATTCTACTTGTGATATAAAGTCTTTGGTCAGGACTAGTTTTGATTGTGATCTTTTTCCAATTGATTTCAGCAGAACCAAGATCTTACCCTAGAGATTAGCGTAAGGGTAAGGCTAGTGCTGTGTGACTTAAGGCAGATGCATAAGACAACTTGTTTATCTTCCTCATGTACAACACAACAGCGATGACATTACTTACAAATTTCAGAGTGGAGCCATAAAAATTAATTCTTTTTTTTTTTTTTAATTATACTGTGTTCAAGTAAGCTCCCAGTCACCACCAACAGTAGTAAAGGCCAGGTGGTGCAGGGTATTTGGTTGAAGCAGTAACTGTAATGATTATTATTAAATAATATTATTATTATTAAAACAGGCAAGTCCTGAAACTTAAGGTTGTAGGTCTTAACTGACAGTTTACTTTCTAAGACTGGAGTGCTGTTCTAGAGCCTAGAACAGCCAACCAAGTTGGTACCTCACAGATTCTGTGGGGTTTGGAGCAAACATAATTGTCTGCCAGTGTTTTTCTCAGTTGGGAATTTCTCCTTGCTCATTGTCCTTCCTCAAAACCACATCCACTGAGGATGGGAACCCTCCAGAGCAGAGGAGACAGGGCTGTCAGGGCAGCAAAGCTGATGGAACTCGTTACGGAAGAAACGCTGGATGACCACACTGCAACGTAGTCTTCATAACGCATTGTCAGACTAATGTCATGAACTTTTGCTCCATAGCTGTAGCTAGAGATCATATGAAGTGAAAATAGGGTGGAGAGAGGCAAGATGAGAAACTCTCATAGAAAAGAAAGTGAACACAATGCTGATGTCTTGTGATGGGCAGTTTGGAAGTTCCTGCTGGGGTGGGGTGGCAGCCTGAAATTCGTGGTTCCAGCTGTTTCCTCTTCTGGCTGTTTTTAAAAAATAACTGATCTATCCAGTGTTGCCAGGGGGACTAGATCATCAAATATTTCTGCCTTCTTCTATGTTACAAGGCCTGGCAGGGGAGGGAATAAAACAAATCTTCTAATTTGGGTTTATTTGTTTTTGAGGAAAAAAAGGCCAAATCTGCCATGTGCTATGAGTTGTTAGCTTTGGTTGAAAAGAGAGAGCACAGTAGTAATGCAGGGGGATGCCTAACTGCAGGTGTGCTGCTCAGCTGCAAGGATTAGATGATCCTTTAAAACCAAAGAAGCATGCCCTATGTTTAGGGCTTCTGTAGAGTTAGATTCCCAGAAAGTGCTAATACTTGTTTTTAATGCAGATTCATCTTGCTGTGCCCACTGAATAAAGCTGTGAAAATTGCTATAATAGCACTGACATTATCTTTCTGAACTGTTTTAATGGACTTATGCCATACTGAAGCACTCAAAGAAGTTGGCTGCTCAGCCCTTTTGAGAATAAAGCCATTAAGAGGCCTCAATCTAGACATTCAAGAGAAAAGCCTTGGTCAGGGTTTCTTTGTACTGTGAACTGGCTGTGTGTGGTAGCTTCCAGGCTTCAAGCAAGCAAAAGAGCTTTGGGATGACCATGTAAGGTAGGGTCCCACATCCCTCTGCCTTAAGCTAGTCAAGTTGCTGTAAGTATTTTGGAATTGATGTAGATTGATCTGGTTTTTTTGGTCTGTCTTTGGTTTGGAAAGCTGTATCCTATCTGTGTACCTACACAGGTGCATCAAAAGTTGAACTGTAGAGAGTGGGTGAGCTTAAACTTACTGCTGAGGAATGAGACACTTGTTTTGTCATAACCCTGGTGGCATTTGAGCAGCCTATCTCAGTGCAAAGAACATGAATTTGAGTTTGTGGTTTAGCCCCAGGACTGGAAGTTAGTAAATGCAGGCAGTCTTCCTGGCCTGCCAGCGATGCTTAACTAGTGTGACTTTGGATAAGTCATCCCATCCCTCTGTTGGGTGACTTCATCCCTGCAAAGCAGCAGAACATGTAACCACCATCAGAGGTTTGTTTTCTATTTGTTGTGTGTCCAAGTCTCTAACATGCTCTGAAATCTTTACATAGAAAGACAGTAAGTCCCTGGTTTTGTTGCAGTTACAAAATGAAATGGCCTTTGCTTGCTAACTGCTTGCTTCAGGCACTGAGCCCGTTTAGGATGAAAGTAGATGAAAGCATGGCTTCTACTCTTCATTGCTCCTTGCCCAGTCATGCTCCGCAGGGCTTATTTCTCTTGACATGGCCTCCCAATCCATTGGTTTTACTGTGCTCCCTCCGAGAATCTTTGCTTGCGTGGGTTTGTTGCTACAGTAATCTAAAAATGGAGACAGAGCTTTGGAGGGGGGAATCTGTTGGTGGTGCCCTGAAGCTGCCAATGCCCCTAGTCCTAATGCAGCAAGTCCCAGCGAAGGTGAGTTCGATAACCTCTGCTATGCTCATTGCCCTTAGCAGCAGTGCTCCAGAGACCTTACAAAGTAGGACCTCCCTGATGTGCCCGAGCAAGCAGAATGCCAGGGCAACATTCTCATTGCAACGTTGCCTTTTTCCCAAGACTGTGGCTGTGGAGGAGCAAATACTTTGTGGTGTTCTTACTCAGACAAGTCAAATCAGTTGGTTGAAATTGGACCAATACAGGGATGGGTAGCCTGTATGGATTGTGGTAGCTTATTTGGTGAGAAATCTTAGAAGGCAATCCCAGCCTCATAGGAAGGAGAATGCTGAGCAGCTGAAGGGGAGTGGATGTTTTTCATTCTGGTCTAAAACTTCAAAATAAACTCTGACTGTATTTGGCCACTTTCTTAAGAACACGAAGGCTTGGCCAGTTTCTAAGCCTACCAGCTTTGTTCTTGGTTCCTGAAACGTGCTTCTGATTTCATATGGATAAGGTCTGCAATGCGTCCTGTCCTAAAACAGTGCTGGGCTGCTAGGTGTTGTTACAGTTTAGATGCATTTTGGCAGAACATGTAATAATTGCTGTACGATTGTTTATTGTTCTAAGTTTGTAATGTACTTCTGAGATGAAAAGAGCTATAGAAATGTAGTCGTATTATCAGTGCATGGTTTTTCCTCATCATTGTTAATGCAATGTTTGCTGCCATGACTGTAGTTAACCAGCCATGTGAATGTTAACTATAGTTCACAGATAAGCCCTTTTTTCCTAAAACAGGAGTGAATGGAGCCAGACAGACCTATAATTCATTCCCAAGCAGATGAAAATAGTTTCCAGTATCAAGAGAATTCAGCTTTTTAACAGCACACACCCAAACTGGTAAATTGCAGCTCAATGCCATGGGAGAAAAGCTTTGACTTTGTCAGCTGGCCTGGAAAAGAAGGCCACACATTCTTTCGTATTATAAAGCTGCCCTGACTGGGTAGCCATTTGGCTGGAATACCCTGTCATCTCCACCACCCACTATTTGGAGATTGGTTTGAGGCAGCACCATAAATGTTCCTTCCCTCCCCTACAACCTAGTATTAGATTAATATAAAAAGGTACTGAATTCCCTGCAATAGCAGTTTGAGAAGCTGAGGTACCCAGTGGGGCACTGAGCTGAGAGTCTCTACACGTCTATAGAACATGCTGGTTTTCTCCAGTCCATCCCACAAACAAGTCCACAAAACCCCATGAGAGAATTCCTCACTACTAGTCCCATTTTTAAAAATGGGGAAACCAAAGCACAGAGCCATCCAGTGAAAGCAAAAGGTCAATTTTAAAAATAAACCTGTAGCTCTTCTACAAGAGAACTTTTTTTAGGGTTGCTGATGCTTTAATCTAGCCTGAAAGTCTATTCTAATATTAGCAAAATAACCATTTCCCAGGAAGCTGACAGGGGTAGCTGTGTGCCTGCGAAGGCTTTGTAAATAGTTACTTCACAAACACTGGGATCTATCAGTAGTTTGGTGTTTGAGGTAAGGCAGCTGGAGCCCCCTGAGAGTGCTGGAAACACGTTCTCCATCTTCTTTCAGCCACCACTGTGTCCTGTCCTTGACTGGTCTCAGACCTACAGGTCTCAGAAATGACATGCATTTTTGAGTTTTTTTGAAATATGCTGGTCTAATCCTAGTAAAGATGCTACTTGGCTGTAGGAACTCAAAACTGAAGGCTACAACAGCTGCTTCCTCAGAAGAAGCTGTTTTGAACCGTATCAGCTGTGGTTGCGCGGGGTAGTGGTGAGAGCCTGCATGGAGGCGAGGGGTGGGTGCTGCTCTCCTCACCCAGCTCTCTCACAGTCTCTTACGGTCCCTGCCGTCCAGCGTGCAGCGCTCTCGCTGGCCCACTGCAGGCTGTGTGGGTCAGGGGGTTGTGTTACAGAAAGGATCTGCTCTATCAAACTTGGTTTATTTTGTACCTCCACTCCTATAACCACTTTTGCATTGCAGTCAGGCCAAGAGGCCCGTGCACTATGACAGCTGTAACACAAGCCATGTCCTGCTTCTTTTATCCAGACATGTGTTTCATATTGCTTGTCCCCCCCACCCCCCGCATACGTACAACACGGCTGTGGCTGGACAAGCCCCCAGCCAAACCCATTAAGATTTTCTTTTGGCGAGGAAAACTTGGCATGTTTCTCTCCCTCCCTCCCTCCCTCCCCTGCCCTTCTCCCCTTGCTCCTCCCTCCTTTTTTTTTTTTTTTTTTTCCCCTGTGGCCGGACAAGCCCCCAGCCAAACCCATTAAGATTTTCTTTTGGCGAGGAAAACTTGGCATGTTTCTCTCCCTCCCTCCCTCCCTCCCCTGCCCTTCTCCCCATGCTCCTCCCCCTTCCTTTTTTTTTTTTTTCCCCCTAAACTTTGTTTTTCCCGTACGTTATTTGAGAAACCATCTTAACTGCAACAAACAACCTACCGCGACCCTTCATTAGCAGGGTGGAAACTTCCCTCCATCCCCTTTGAACCTAGGGCTAGACTGGAGGTGTGTGTAGTAAGTAAACTTTAAGTAAACTTAACTACTAGATCTTCTCACACAGGCAGTTCCAATTCGGTGTTTGTACAACACCTAGGTCAGAAAGACCTGCCTGCTTCCACGTTAATGGGAATAGAGAGAAGTGGAAATACCTGATCCTTAACATTCCTCCCTACAGGCATATGTAGGATAGGGAAGACATCCTTATGTGAGAATTGGCTTTCTGCCTCTCTCCCTACCTGTTTGTAAACAGCTGACTGCCCACGTGCCTCCTGGAAGAGGCAAGGGGTCCCAGCTCAGTGCTAGGAGCTGCAAGAGCTTCCAAACAGAGTAATCAGCTTCAGATGGCAGAAAACAGGGGCTTATATGGTCAGTCTGCTTGCCAGCCCCTTCCCACACCCAGCAGCAAACGGAGATGGGAGTACAGGTTGTGGGACACCTCTCTATGTAAAACTAAGGCTTACAGTGGGTAATTTTGTGTATTTGGCAGTTCCTTTTCCTCTTCTTTCCCTTTCACTGCATTCAGACCTGACGGTCTTGTTACTGTAAACCACAGCCCATGTATGTGTATGTATGTGTTCTCTCAGAGCAGTGGTTTCTCATGCTGTTTTGAATAGTAAACCAGCATCTGTGCCTGATACACTAGCTGATTTTTTTTTTTTTTTAAATGCTCTTGTTAGAAGCTGTGTAAAATCTTTCAATTTATTTCTATTGGACACAGATGCTTAACTTGCACAGTGTGCTAGTTCCCCGACCAGAGTTTGTTTTCAAGCTCTCTGTTTGCTTCAGGATTTGGGGGATAAAACTTAGCTCCAGCTGGGAGGAGCTCTGGAGAAATGCTGTGGCTGGTACCCACTTAGTTTCGCATGTGCTTGCCTGTGCTGGCAGCTACTCGCTAACGGCACATACACTACTTGAACAGAGGAGCAGACCAGCTCTCTTGTCCACACTAAGTATTAATATATCAAGTCATCACTGTGGAGAATGCCCTGTGCTAGACCTGCTTATCAGCTAAGGTCACATTCCATAACAGCAACAGCAAAACGAGCAGACAGCCTTTATAATCAGCGAAGAAGTTGCTTACTCCTGCTCTGACTGTCGAAGCAATGCAAGGCTGCAGGCTGGATCCTTTTGTTAGCGGTACGGCTGCAGCGCAGCTTTCTGCAATCCTGTTAAAAGCTTTTCTCTCGCCACCTTTGCTCCTGAGTGTCCCTTGCAAACAAATTCAGGCTAGCGAGCTCTGCTCAATGGCTGATTCTGCAGTTCACCATACAGGGCGCTACAAAAGCTCCAGCTACTTGCTAACTAGCTGAATGTTAAGGTGCTACGGTTGACCGAACACCAGCAATAGCTCAGCCTTACCCCAGCCGCGCCGCGAACTCTTCTTCTCCTCTTGTTTTTCTTTCTGTCTTCTTAAACTTTCACGTCATCTCTCCCCTCATCCTGGCTTGTGTCTCGCTCCTCGCTGGGCTCCTCTCCGCTCTGCTGCTGACAGCCAGCTGTTGTCTCTGCCTTTTTTTTTGTTATTGGTTGTCCTGGAGATAGGAAGTTTCGTGTTACACGTGTGCCCGGGAGGGCGGGCGGGCGGGCGGCGAGGAGCCGCCGCGGGCTGAGCCGGCCGCGGCTGCGGACTCCCCGGAGCGCCCCAGTGCCAGCACTTGTTTCTCGCTTCCTCTGCCCATCTCCTCCTAGCAAGGTCTCTTCTTTTTTTTTTTTTCCTTGTAATTACAGCTTTTTCTGGAGCGGGGCTTGAATTGATTCTCTCCTTGCGATAGTTTGGGTGTGTGTTAAAGCAATTAACTTTTCTTTATGCTGCCCAGTTTCCTTCCGACTCCCGGGGGAAGGAGCTTTTCTCTCGTGTTCTTTGAAGGGGCAGAGCAAGAAATTGCAAGGACAGTGCAGCATGGTCTGCCACTGACAGGGGAGCAGGGCTGATGCTGGGGTGGTGAATTTTCTCTGCGCCCTTGGTCAAGTCATTTACTCTCTTGATGCCGTGGTTTTTGCTTCTTTTATACTGGGCACAGCTGATACCCACTGTCTTGTCTCAGAGGGTTGTTGAAGTTCAGCTGATATTACAAAGGATCCAGTCCTTCAGACAGGTGCAAAATTATAATTCCTCATCAACCTCATAATTTGCTCTTCTATTTGACAAACCTCATTAAATGGCTTTTGTTCAGCAACTGGCATCTACGTAAATAATTTGTCCTTGTATGATTTTTGTCTTTTTAATGCTTTCATTTCTTGGCTTTACTCCAAGACTTGCTGGGGTTTTTTTCCGGGGAGCTCTTCTGATGAGGCTGTGTACCCTTCTTTGGCTCATACGAGGGAATGCTTTTTTCTGGTATGTTTTGGGAGAGGCAGAGCTTCTTTTGGGATATGTGACTTTGCTTCTTCTCTGACTGTCCATCTGTTTCTACTAATTGCAGGAATAGGGCTCCTGTTTTACCCGGCGTACAAAAGCAAGGAATACCAAAAGGAGACATGGTGCAGGCAGCCATGTGGTCAGTTTAGCACTTTCCTGAAATGTATTGCCACAGACAAAAGCATGTTAATAAACTTGTTTGTTATTTGCTTTTCATCCTATCCCATGATGTCAAATCAGGGTAGGGTGTCTCAAATGAAATAATGATTTTGTTTAGACATTTTAAAGACCAATGGTCAGCTCATACGTACTCCTGTTGAAGGGTGGGGGAGGCAAATAATACAGCTGCATATTTAAAAGATGAAATAATTTTAGGACATGTATAATAATACAAACTACCATTAATTTACGTAAATTGGCTCTCCATCTCGTAGGCATTAGTCAGGTGCTTGTGTGACTCGGGAAGTTTTCCCACCACATGTCAATGCATAACCGGCTATGTTTCAGGACCTCTTGTGTTCAGTTAAGCATTAATCCAGTGGTTACCCCCAGCATCCCTATTGGTAACTCTGGTTTTGGCCTTTTGACTCTAATTATAGGACTGCAATCTTAGTTCTGCAATTGAATTTCTGTTATGACCCAACTCATGAGCACCACTGGCTGAAGTGGGGCTGCGGCCCCGATTTGGGTAATTCTGCAGGAAGATACAGGCAGTTACAGGAGGCTGGACGGAAAGGGCTTGGCATTACAAGCCTGATGGGTTAGAAACTAGAACCTCTCTAAATTCCAGTGACTTCAGAGCTGATCTCTGCTTTCACCAAAGCCCTCCCTTGGGGCATCTCTCTCGTTTGCATTAAGGGACAGAGGTGTGTGTGGACATCCCTCCCCAGCATAAGCCTGGTGAGTAGGCTGTAGGAGGAGAGGGCTTGACCATTACTGTATGCCTCGGTTAACTCTAATTTGGATCAGTGCGCGTGAGAGAGACATGGACTAATGAGAATGCCTGCCTGTTTTCTTTTGGGCAAACAAAAAGCTGACTTGCAGCTCGCTGACATTTCTATAGTCACGTTGCATTGGCAGGACAGGCAGCACCAGTAGTTCTTTCGGAAAGGCAGGACAAGGGGATCGAATGTGTTGTCCCCATCCTGGTCCCCCCACCCTTCCCCACCATGTGAAAGGAGCTCTTTGAGTGCAAGACGAGAGTGAGTCAGTGCGGCTCTGCAGGGGGATATAAAGCCAGCTTTGTAGTAGCCCTCTCTAGGCTTTCAGTGCCCTAGACCGTGCAGTGCAACATCACCCTGTTGCAGCCCTCCTTACCTGAGCAGCGCCAGGTCCTTCATGCTTCAGCACACACATTTTATTGCTCTGGCGACAGTAGTCTGTAACCTGCTGCTTTGCTGCTTCGCTCGTTCTTCTGCTTGGTAAATTAACCTCCCAGGCCGTGGGAATGAGTGAGCCAGCTGCTGCTGTAGACCCTTGCAGGGTTTGTTTGTGATGCTTTGGTAGACATGCAGTTATGTTCCCCCCAGACACGCACATGCACGCGCACAAGAAGCAAACTGCGTTTGTTAGATCTCTGGCAAGTTCAGACATGCCTTAAAGGGTTTATTATAAGGATAAATGAAGTGCTCACGCTCTTACTTTTCCCCTCTGTGACCTACTTTTTGCCGATGAAGTTGGTAAGCCAACTAGGGCACTCCTTGGTAGAGAAGAAAAATCTCCACTTTGTTCTTCCTTGCAGTAAAATAATTATCTTCTAAAATAACTCTTGTTGCTGCTTGGCTGCAGGATTTGATCTCTAAATGCCTGATGAAGTGTTTCTGTGTATCTAGCATCAGCATTTTGATTAAGAGACAACTGGCCACCTCTGCTGTGAAACCCAAGTTTTAAAAAGCTCCTCTAAATTCTGCCCACTTTCTTAAAAAAAGAAAAAAAGTAACCGCCTGGTTCTTCTTTACCTAGCGGAATCAGTGTCTTCACTGGTATAAGCTAGGGAGCGCTCTAGAAGAGAAATTACTTCCTGCCTGTATTGCTAATGAGCATGTCTCTGTCACCAAACTCTTTTTTACATACCCAAAAGCACTGATGTCTGCCAGAAATCTTTTGAAGATTCCTGGAAGAATCTAATCATCTTCACACAGCTAGTTTGCTAAGGCTGGTAGAACTGGTTGTGCAATACTGTATGAGCAAATGGACTGGTTTTCACGGATGTAGGACTCTACCCGAACTTTGGCTGCGTGTGTTAGCAGATCGAGACCCAGGCTGTATTATCTGAATAGTGCTCCCTTGTGACCTCAGTCTGGACTCTATTTCCGTGACTTAATTGACATTCCTGTTTCTTCACACATAGATTTGTTCACCTTCAAACCACAAACAATAAAATCGGAAGCTCTCCACTGTGAAATACACAAACTACTCTGAACTCTGAGGTGTAGGGATCAACAGGACCTCTTTACATATTTATCCTAGAGACATTCTGGTTGGACATGGAATATATTTGGCCAACAATGCAGCATTAATAATTGCATATTTCATCCACCGTGCCTTTTGCAGATCTCAAAGATCTGAAAGCATTTAGCAGAAGAGATTGACACCACTGTTTGTTTTACATGTGGGGAAGTGGAGGCAGAGAGACCTTAAGCAGGGTGCCAGGAACAGAACCCCAGTTCTGCTCCAGGGCTTAATCCCTGTGATTCCTACTGGAATAGGCATTCTCCGCAAAAAAAGACTCAAGTCTTTATCAAAAGACGCCTTGCATTTGGAGGGTGGAGTTGTTGTCAATAAAAATAATTACCAGATCATTTTCCCTTTTGTTTCCTAGATGTCGCCATGCTGCCATAGCGAAGTACTTTGGCGATGTCACCCCACCGTGTAACAAGTGCTGTGATTACTGCAAGAACCCAGGGGCAGTGAAAAGGCAGCTGGAGTCACTGGAGCGCTGCAGCAACAGCTGGAGCAAAACCTGCATTGGGCCCACAGGTTCCTCCTGGGATAGCTATGACCCAGAGCTGTATGAAGGCGGGAGGAGAGGTTGCAGAGGGTTTAGCAGGTCTGTACTTGGTAGCTCAAACTCAGCTCATAGAAGCTATCAGAGAGAAGAGAGCATCTCCCAGCTGCAGGCCCAGCCACTCCTATTTTTTCAGCACATGTTTCTATGTGGTGGTATTTTCCTGTAACTTCCTGGCAGCAGGAGCTGGAATTTAATTTTCCACACGCTTTGGCAGCCTTGATCACATTCATGTCCCAGAGAGCCAAAAGCTGTTTTGACTGACCTAAGAATTGCCCTGCAGAATGTAATTGGTTCAAGAAACTAGCCTGAAATTTTTTGAAAGCAGTTAGTGGGCTCAGCCCGTTCACAGTCACAAGGATCAAAAATGTTTAAATTGAGACCAATGTGACAGCAAGGTATGACACGATCCAGGGTTCAGTCCTGACTTAGTATGGCTGTGGCCATATGGCATTGCATGTTTAGAATAATTAATAATAGCAGGCTGGGGGGCCACTGACAGGACTTAGTCATCACAGAGGATGTAGTGGAGTGCCAGCATCAGCTGCTTCTGCAGATTGCTAAATTTTTGTGTTTCCCTATCAGGCTGACAGCAAAAGGAAGATGTGCAGTGGGAAACATAATTAATTCTGTAAAATGCTTGGCAGTGTGGAGATGACAACTTCCCTTTCTCCTTGTTCTCTGGCTGAGTTGCAGCGATTGTGCAGCTCCACCAGGATGCAAGTTTCATTGCCTGCACTGCCCGTGAAGCTCTGCCAGGATGTGCAGCGCTGTCAGCTGGCCTAGCCCTCTGCTTTACCTTAAACAGCTTGAGACTGGTAGCTTTGTTCTTCGGGCAAGTCCAGCTGAGTCGGAGGAAACTGGTGTACTTGTGACCTATGCCTGTGTTTGATCTCAGGACCTGAGAAGACACGGCCAATGCTGTTGTACAACACACTGTTTGCCACTTGATTTATTGAACCTCTCCATGACTTGGTTGTAGCTTTGCCTTGGAAGTTGTAACGGTCAACAGCCTTAAAACTCTGATTTGTGATACCTGGAAGTTTTGGCTGTGACAGCTGTGGAAGGCAGTAAACTCTTGGGCTACATCTGGCAAGAATCAGC